AAAAAATCCAATCCATTCCTGCTTTACATTTTCTTTTCATTCTTGCATTCTTTGTGTGTATCTATCCATCACTTGTTGGAGGAATCAAGAGGCCGAAGCACTTGTAAAAAAGATCAACAACTAGACAATGCCTTAAGGGCCAAGATCATGTCAAAAAGCATAGCCCCAACAAGGGAATTCCATACAAGTGGTTTCATATAGCCACCAAGAAAAGAAAGACACATCAACAGCAGGACGGGATAGAACTGTAATCGACCGAATAAGCAAGCCCATAAGCATGAAGAGGCCATCGCACCCTACTCCTCAACTAAATGAACGATGATCCAAGAGAATGCTAAGACCAGGAATGACTTCCTAACCAAAGCTAGGAGTGGCTTCCAAAACAATACTCGTCAATAAAGATTCAATAAATAACCTCATCATGGGATGAGATCCCTCCACCAATGATGACAACAAAAAATAAAACCGAAAAAGGCAAGCTTCGTAAATGTTGAAAAAGCCGAAGCATTTAGAAAAATAGCAGAAAAAGGCAAGCTTCAAACATGAAAAAGACGAAGCTAAACAAAAATAAAATTTAGAAAAGACCATCCCACAATGAAGGCGCCTGGAGAGGCATCACAATACTCACATGGCAGGGGCAACACTAGAATCGCTGTCATCCATCTATTTTCTCTGCCCACCAACACAAGGGCATATCAAGTATATCCTACCCATCCTCCTTGGAGCAGTTTCTATCACAAGTCAACAATGAGGGTACCGTCGAGTACCTCAAATCCGAGAAGGATCACCGTCTAGTATCCACCCAAGATTTCAAAGGTCTTCCTTCAAAGGACATCAACAACCATCCAAGTTGAGTGCCGCCATCGAGCCTCTCAAATCATTGAATGATAACGAGGGTACCGTCGAGTTCCTCGAAGTCAAAATCGGGACTGCCATCGACCTCCCACCATAGGCTGACTGGAGCCTTAAAATCAGTCCAGCTTTATTGAGAACCGCCATCGAACTGCCTCTCAAATTAGTGAATGACAATGAGGGTATCGTCGAGTTCCTCGAAGTCAAAATCGGGACTGCCATCGAGCTCCCACCATAGGTCGACTGAAGACTTAAAATCAGTCCAGCTTGATTGAGAATCGCCATCGAGCCTTCTCTCAAATCAGTGAATGACAACGAGGGTACGACCGAATTCCTCCAAGTCAAAATCAGGACTGCCATTGAGCTCCACCATAGGCCGACTGAAGCCTTAAAATCAGTTCAACTTGATTGAGAACCACCATCAAGCCACCTCTCAAATTAGTGAATGACAACGAGGGTACCGCCGAGTTCCTCGAAGTCAAAATCGTGACTACCATCGAGCTCCCACCATAGGTTGACTGAAGCTTTATGATCAGTCCATCTTAATTGAAGAGTCGTCGTCGAGCCTGTTAGATCAAGAACGACAGCGAGGGCACTGTCGAGTTCCTTGAAGTCAAAATTGGGACCACCGTCGAGCTCCCACCATAGGCCAGCTGAAGCCTTGAAATTAATCCATCTTGATTGAAGAGCCGCCATCGAGCCTTTCAGATCAAGAACAACAACAAGGGCACTGTCGAGTTCCTCAAAGTCAAAACTGGGACTTTCGTCGAGCTCCCACCATGGGCTGGCTGAAGCCCTAAATATCAGTCCAGCCTGGAGAGGCTGAGCTCAAAATATACTCCCTTTTTAACAAGCTACAAATAAAGGAACACACTACCATAAAGCAAGCAAAATCAGTAGGATGCATTGACATCAAAGCCAAAAGCCTAGATGGTATAAGTTTACCATCCTTATCACCCGACGGAGCATATAAACTAACACTCAGTTGCTCTTAGGGACAAGGATACAGGTAAACACCATCTACCCGAAGGAAATGGTGTGGGGGCATCTACACTGTTGAAGTAAAGGAGAAGATTCGGACACAGCAAGCGACATGTGGCATTCACATGGATCTTGAAGCCTAGATGTTTCGGTTTACCATCCTTGACACCCAACAGAGCATACAACCCAACACTCAGTTGCTCCAAGGGGCAAGGATATAAGGAACACCGTCTACCCGAAAGAAACAACGTGAAGGTATCTATTGTCAAAATAAAAGTGAAGATCCGAATTTTCACCTCACTATCACAAGAGAAACAATGGAGCTTCTACTCGAAGACTAAAGATCAGGTGTACAGTTTGTCAGCCTTGTTATCCAATAGAGTGCACAACCAACACTCAATTGCTCTCAAGGGTGAGGATACGAGCAAATACACCTATCCAAGGGAAACAGCGTAGAAGCGCCAGCACCAAAGAGACGAAGAGAAGACCTAGACGAAATGTCTACGTCTTTACTTGCCTTTGGAAAAGCAACACATAGCTATTCCAAAGGACAAGTAAAGAGGGGCAGCTGTAGACACCCAATTTTGTCCGGACCAACAAAAGCAATGAAATGGACGTTTATCATCAAATAAATGGAGCTCCCAAGCATGAAAATAACAAGACATGACATCAGAAGGCCTAAAAGCCCAAACAAGCTGGTTTTAGTAGCTAGGAACGGGCTGTTGCGAAACCGGAATAGGTCGTTCCCAATTTGGAATGGGCCATTCCAAGTTCCTAAAAGGGCCTAAAACCCTAGTTTGGAACGAGCCGTTCCAAGTTATTAAAATGACCTAAAAACCCTTGTTTGGAATAGTCGTTCCAACCTAGTCAATCATGTGTTAATCTCATCTCTAGAACGGGTCGTTCTAGTTTCAGAACAGGTTGTTCCAGTTATAAAATTAACACAAAATGGTCGGATCTAGAACGGGCCGTTCTGATTTTGGAACTGGCCATTCTGGCAACTTTTTGATGTCTATAAATAGACGACTCGGGCACAATTCTTGGGGCCACAAAATTTCGTCCAAGACTCCTTAGAGCTCAAAATTTCTCTTTTTCCCTCCTATTGTATTTCTTAAGTTTTGTGAAGCATATTGTAGTGTCAAAGATTGCTACAAAGCACCTAAAAGTCTCCATATTTGAAGATTCAATAGAGCTCGTTCAAGAGGTATTTTAATCAATCTTTTTCTCTCCCTTTTATTTCTTATCTTTGATAAACATTGCTATAATAAAAATAATCATGTAGACATTTTAGAGTTAATTGTTTAATTTAAATATCAAGCATGTAAATAATTATTAATGAAGGGGATCTAATATTTAATTTATTAATTCTTATCACATAAACTTCATCATAGGGTACCGATTGAGGCCGCTGTAGGGGTGCTTAATACCTTCCCTACATGTAACCGACCCCCAAACCCAATTCTGGTTATCAAGGCCATTATTGGATCTTTAAAAACCTTTTCTTTTTCCAATGTTTCGAGTAAAACATTGGTGGAGACTCCATGAACTCATTTTTCAAAACCATTAATTAAGGATTAGTCTGGTGTCCGGGCATTCCCTAATTGATGAGATCTTTAAAAGGATGTCTCAACCATAAGTCGCGAAATCAGAAATTTTTGGGTTGCGACACTCCTATTAATATGAAACGAGGTATGACTCGGGTAACGAATGGATTGTTGAAGGAAAATGGAGAAACATAATTAGTTGGTTCATTTTGGTGACAAGACTTGGAGACCGAGTATGAGTACGTAGTGAACTTACACTTAGGCGCTTAATCCTTGGAGAGGGTCATAAAAGTAAAACTAATATTGTGGTAGATGCCTTAATTAGGATGACCATTCACCTATCATCTTTGATGATTTAAGGGTTGGATTTGATTGAAGAGTTTAGAGACTTAAGCTTGGTGTGTGAGC